GTCTTTCTTTAGAGAAGCTTGTCCGAATGCAAAGTTGAGGTGAGTTTGAGTCCAAGGACCATCATGATTGGTTCAGCTGAGCTTCAGGACAATGAACTTTGCATAAAACCATATCCTCAGAACTAGAATGGTATGACATCAAAACTTATTTCCTATTTCCATGGGGAAAAAAAGATTTTTATTAGGGTGATTCGGTACAACATACAATTGTGTCTGTAAGTTTGAGAAAATAGATGTGGTAGCTTTATAATGCAAACCTTTTGCAATTACCATTCATAGAATTAAGAACATATATCTCTGTCAGATTACTTGATCAAAGGATTGTTCCTAGAAATAATGTATAATACTCAGAAATAATGTGTAGTATAATGTATAGAGTTCAGAATGTGATTTCAACTTTTACATGCTACCATATTTATATTTGTAAATTTTAGAAAAGCTGTATATTGTATAAAAGTAATCATTTTTCATAAATAGGATTCAATCACATTCAATCTGATATATAAGCATTCTGAGCAAGAATATTCTTGGGTGAAACTATTAGTTGCTTGGCCAGCTGCTGGTTCTTAAGCAAAAGATATATCCCAATTTAGTCTGAGCATTAATATTGGCAGAATAACATAGATGATAGATATTCTAAAGGATTCCTCCTTACAGAGCTTTCCTTTAGTTTTAAAGAAAAATAATGCCTGCAGCATTTGTTTCCATGGCAATAACAAAATTACTTGCAATAAATATCCTTAAAAACTATCTGATCGATTAATATGTACAAATGAAATACAGCAAAGGAGAAGACATATCTTGTCTTTAGATAGGAACCAAGTATTCTACATTATTGTGCATAGAACTCTAAAGAAAAAGCCTGGTAGTGCTTAATTATGATAATTTGTAATCAACATATAAAGTCATGTAACTGTGTATTTACTTGCACACTGAGAGTTAAACTCACATGTTCAATTGCTTTTAGTTTTTGGAAAATAAATAAAGATAAGTATTAAATGAAATACCAGTTCAGAAGTCCTTTACAATATAGGGAGGGTTACATTAGTTATTTAAATATTTTTTTAAAAGACGATTGCTCAAAATATAGCAACAAGAACATTAAGGATTTTTCAGAGCATTCATAAAGATCTAAAAACAAAAAAATACAGACAGGAAATGGAAAGAGGACTAAATCACAAAGGAAAATTGCAGACAGCCTTGAATTGCAGAGCTGGTGTCAGGAAAAAAGAAATCTCAGAATGAGCTGAGATTAGCAAAGGATGGTAATGTAAATGGCTTCTTTAGATTTGTTCAAAAGAAAAGAAAAAGACAAGAATCAATATACCAGCTGCTCAATGAAGATAGCAAAATATGTGTAACCAGAAAAGTGGGGATGGCAAAGCCACTCAATATTTTATTTGATCATCATGTTCAAAGGAACAACAATTATGTATTCCATCAGGAAATGTGAAAAGCAGGGTAGATTAAAAATATAGTCAGGGAATATCCTTTTACATTGATTTGCATCCTATGGTATTGGAAGAACTAGCTGGTGATCTGGACGAACCCTTATTAAGTATCCTTGACAAATCTTTTATCACAGGTTGGGGAAATCCCCAAATGACTGGAAGAGGGCAAATGTCCTCCCTCTTTAAAGGATAAGTGTAGTCCAACAAACTGCAAAATATTTGGTCTGACATTGATACCCAGGAAGATTCTAGGGCTTGATTCATCTAAAAAAGACCTCTTTAAAGAGATTGGCTTAAAATTACCTTGAAAACAATGTACTGTTTGCTAGAGGTCAGGGTGGATTTATCAAGAACAAATCTTGCCTGAGTACTTTTATCTTAAAAAATTGTTTAGGTAACTTTCTCAATAGATGATAAGAACATATTTCTTAATTTTAGCAAAACATTTGGCACAGTAATCTCTGATAATGATGGTTAGCAGGCTAGCTAACTGTGGGCTTGATGGCATGACATGTGGATCCACAGCTTTCTCAAAAATCATGTCAAATAACATTTATCATAGTAAAACTTTTTGTCATAGTATAAAATTGGATTCTTAAAAAGACTCCTCTACCCTTCGGTGTATTTTTTTCAGAATTGTCATTAGTGACATATAATCTGGAATTCAGAGAATGCTTATCATGTAGTGGATCATACAAAATTGGTTGGAATAGCTAATAGTAGATAAAATTAACATTCACAGAATGATAGGGTTGAAAGGAACTTTGGAGATCTTCCGGTCCACTTCCCTGCCCAAAGGCAAGAGTCCTTCTACCAATATCATCCTGGACTAATGGGTTTCCAATCTTTTCTTGAAAACTTCCAGTGATGAAGCACCTGTAACTCTGGGAAACAAGCTGTTCTATTGGTTGATTGTTCACACTGTTAGGAAATTCCTCCTTGTTCCCAGGTTGGATCTCCCTCTGATAAACTTCCATCTATTGCTTCTTGTCCTGACCTCAAGTGCTGTGGACAATAAATCAACCCCCACTTCCCTATGACAGTCCGTTAAGTATTGGAAAACATCCCCCACAGATGTCCCTTACAGCTTCCATTCATTAGACTAAACATGCCTAGTTCTCTTTGTTAGGAATGATAGTCACCTAACAGTTGGGTTGGTAATATATAAACAAGGATAGACATTTAATACTGTCTCTTTAAGGGAATGCTAAAGTTGTAATTGGGTGTGGTTCCTCAAACGGTCATAAGATGGAGACAGAAACCTGGGTTGTTAGTTCTGTTGTTGATAGTTGCTAGTTGGTCAATGTTCTGATGTTCGCTGTTTTCTGAATTTTTCCCTATTGACTGTTGCTGATCATTGTACTTCTTGGATTACTGTAAGTCTGTTACTGAACCATTTATTTATTTTATTTATTTTGATTTGTCAATCGCTTACAAGATAATAGGTATAAGTATATATTTCATGAATACATGAAATGGGTACATATAAGAAAAACAAAAGAAACAATAGGACAGGGATGGTAGACACGTTGGTGCGCTTATGCACGCCCCCTACAGACCTCTTAAGAAAGGGGTGAGGTCAATAGTAGACAGTCTAAGGTTAAAGTTTTTGGGGCTTGGGGAAGAAACCACAGAGTCAGGTAGAGTATTCCAGACATTGACCACTCTGTTGCTGAAGTCGTATTTCCTGAAATCAAGTTTGGTGCGGTTAACCTTGAGTTTGTATCTATTGCGTGCTCTTGTGTTGTTATGGTTGAAGCTGAAGTATTCATTGATAGGTAAATCATTGCAATGTATGATTTTATATACCATACTTAGATCAGACCGAAGACGGCATAATTCAAGGTTTTCTAGGTCTAGAATTTCAAGTCTGATGGCATAAAGTATTCTACAACGAGTAGAGGAGTAGAGAACTCTTCTTGTGAAATATTTCTGGACTTTCTCAACTGTGCTAATATCAGATACGTAATGTGGGTTCCAGACTGATGAGTTGTATTCGAGTATTGGTCAGGCAAATGTTTTGTATGCTCTAGTTAGTAGTGTGATATTACCAGAGAAAAAGCTACATAGGATTAGGTTAACAACTCTTAATGCCTTTTTGGCTATGTAGTTACAGTGGGCTCTAGCACTTAGATCATTAGAGATGAGTATTCCAAGGTCCTTTACAGAGCTTGGATCATCAACAAAGTCTTGACTATTCAGCTTGTATTTTATTTTCTGATTTTTTTTGCCAATATGTAAGACAGAACATTTATTTGTTGAGATTTGAAGTTGCCATTTGTTTGACCATTCTGGTACATAGTCAAGATCTTTTTGAAGGATAGCAGTATTGTCAGTGGTATTGAACATCATCAGCGAAGAGAACACAATTGCTCTTAATATGATCACAGAGGTCATTTATATAGAGTATGGAGGGAGTTGGTCCTAGAAAACTGCCTTGGGGGACACCACTATTGACAGGTACAGAATATAGATCCTCTCATAGGCACTACTGTTGAACTGCTAATCCTACACTTGTGCACCTGGTTTTTCCTGCCTAAGTGCAAAATCTTACATTTCTCACCACTGAACCACATCTTGTTGAATAGAGGCCAGTGTTCAATTCTTTCAAGATTCTTCTCTTGAATCTCATCTTCTAAAGTGTTAGCAACTCCCTGTAGCTTTGTGTTATCCACAAATTTGATGAGCTCCTTTTCAGTCCCCTCATATAGGTCATTTATGAAGCTGTTGAAGAGCCCTGGATCCAGACAGAACTTTGAGATACCGCACTCTGTGCTTTCCTCTTGTGAACATGTAGTTCCATTGAGGAGTACATGCTGGATGTGATTGGTCAACCAACTGCAAATCCATCTGGTGGTGGTACTGCCTAACTAGCGTTATTTACCCATGGTGTTGATTTTTATATATTGGATTATTTTTCCTTTTTTTCCTTCCTTCCTTCCTTCCTTCCTGCCTTCCTTCCTTCCTTCCTTCCTTCCTTCCTTCCTTCCTTCCTTCCTTCCTTCCTTCCTTCCTTCCTTCCTTGAGGTAATTAAATTTTATAATTCATTGACTTATAGAAACCTGACAAAGTCCTAATGTAACTGAAATTCCATAGGAGAAATTACATTGATAGTTAACATTTGTTTATTGTAAAGAATACAGGTTTAGAAATTTGTCATAAAGAGTTTGGCATAATCATTGGCTCTTTACAGCATTATTCATTTTCAGACCTTTAAGGAATTATGTCATATTGTTTGAATTTGGTTATAAAAGTATGCCAGTTTTTTGTTAAATTTTTTGGTCTACCCATCTGAACTTGGTGTTTCTCATTATTCCAAAAGGTATAACACAAAAAATACATAAAAGTTTGTAGAAAAGTTTCCAGTTGAATATTAGAAAATAAAACTTCCTAACCTTAAGAGCAATTTGACGATGGATGGGTTCAAGCAAGGTTTGGATGCTGTGGGATACTTTATTTGGATTCTTGCATTGAGCAGATATTGGGCTCAGAAGTGCAGGTGTCCCTTTCTACTCTGTTATTTAAGTTGATGATGTTTATTTTTTTAGACTAGTACAGAGTGTCTGTTGGATCCACAGCAAGCTCAAGCTTTTGACCAGCTCTGTCGTCTATATCGTGGAACATCAAGGGTAATGTAATTTTGTATTTTCTTTTTAATACAAACTGGATCAAACTCTGATGTGCTTTCAGACATTATATATCTGAAATATCAGAGCCATAATTGCACAATGGTTTGAATAGAGTACTGCAGGCTAACTCACTGCTCATACCAGAAGTTCGATTCTAAATAGCTCAAGATTGACTCTGCCTTCTGAAGTCAGTAAAATGAGGACCCAGATTTTGGGGGGTAAACTGCTTAGAGAGGGCTGTAAAACACTGTGAAGTGTATATAAGTCTAAATGCTATTGCTATCATAAAGATAATTGCTATCGTTGTATTTGTCTTGGATGGAAAATAAACAAGGCATGGGCATTTAAAACACACTGAAAGAAATCAATGTCCTATCAGGTACTAAATCTTATTGTGACTAATTAAATGTTTATTTGACACCCATAAGTAGGAAGTGCAGTAAGTGCAATTGCTTTGTCCTGCTTATTTTCAGTAGCAACTGCCATTGAAGAGTATACAGCTCTGTCAGAGCAGATGAAAAATTTATCTGTCTTTATTTTCTTATACATTGCTTGATTTTTTTTCAACTTTGCCATAATTCATTTAACTATTTTTTCAAGCTAAACAGCCCTAGATAAACTACATTTTCTCAGATGAAGATTTTTCCAGCATCTTGACCCATTTTGATTGTTTTCTTTCATGCCTTTTGATGCACAATAATATTTTAAATAAAACATTCAATTGTTTTGCATCAGACAGACACCGATTGGTAGAAATGTCTAAAGTTTCCTTCAGAAATAGTTCATACTCTCCTGAAGTATATACCATATTTACATTTTTATTCTTTAAACACTCTTTGTTTTCAGAACAATCATCATGAAATGCCACAATACTAAATTATTAACCAATATAAATATATATTTATATCCTAATAGATATAGTCAAAGCTATTTTTTTGTCTTTTCCACAAGTTCATGTCTGACTTCTACTAGGATTGTTTTCCTACATATGTGTAATTTACGTGCATGTTTGTTGTGATATAGCCAAGAATGTTTTAACACAGTTGGTAAGAAAAATATTTCTTTTATTTTGTAGTTGGCACTTTTGACTGAATTGTCTCGAGATCATGGTGGTGAAAAACATGGTTTTGTCCAAGTCTCCCAGGGGGATTCTGCCCTAAATAGTGTCTTCCAAAATGAGACTTTTCAGCTTCATCTCAATCCTCCTCCTCTTCTAGAAGACTAATCCTTGGGTATCAAGCATTGTGGGGGGGAAATACTGCAAATGTTTGCTGGTGGATCCAAAGGAAAAGGTAGCAGTATGTATTTTATGACTAACTGCAACAATGCAATCTTTGTGAGAACTACCTGTTTTGATCCTTAACAAAACAGAACATCATTGTCAAATATTCTAGTCCTTATGTCCAATGGATTTTGCTGAAAGCTATAAACTGCTCTATGAATCCTATACTTTTTTCATTTAAACTCAGAGTAAAGAATGGAACTTTACATTGGTTATTGGTTATAAAGGCTACAATGCAAGACAGAACTGCCAGAACGTTTATGAGATTGCTTTCTCTAATGCTCTCAGTTGCTTCTGAAAATCTGTTAGCTGCTCCAGTTGCAGCTCAAGAAATGTTGCTGTGACAGATGCTATGCCTTGGAAATGTAACATGCTAACATCATAAATGAGGAAAATCTGTTAATGAAACACATTAGAATATACCACTCAGCCAACTAGATATTTGATGTCAATTTGTGTATATTCTGAGTACTTTCATGAGTGCCAGCTTTTCCACGGAGAGCTTAACTGTTTCCAGTGTACCAAAAGAAACAAGCACATTACTCATTTATGATGGCTGCTCTCTTGCTGCCAAGTTGCATGGAAAAGATATCTTCTTCCATTATATATTGCCAGTTTCCTGAACCTTACCCATTTATTTTTATGAATTCACTAAAGGATTATCATGTTGTTATTTCTCCTCCTTATCTTTGCCACAGGAAAAAAAACAATCTAGTGCAGGAATATATTTTTGAAAATGAATGTTTCTGATTCCTGTAAATGATATTTAATAACCTTTTGTCTTTCCATTACTTACCATTTGTATAGACAGGAGCAAGTATAAATTAAAATATATATAAAAACCAGAATTACACTTATATTAGACTATTTCATGGCTGAATTTATTTTGTCAGAAAATTGTTACCTCATATTTGCACATATTTTTCTATAAATCACCAAAAGTATCATATCTGTTACTGTCCACTTCCATATTACCTTAACAAGTTAATATGTTTTTTTACAGTTAGACTATCAAAAATTATGAATTTATGTACTAAGTATGTACTAAGCCAATACAGGTAGTCCTTGAGTTAGGACCATAAGTGAGCCCAAAATTTATGAGGCTAAGTGAACCATTTGTTAAGCAAGTTTGCCTCATTTTATGACTTTTCTTGCCACAGTTGTTAAGCAAATCATTGTGGTTGTTAAGTGTGTAACATTGTTAAGTGAATCTGGATTCCCCATTGACTTTGCTTGTCAGAAGGTCACAAAAGAGAGGTAATTCAGAATGCAGAAAGTCCTTGACTTACAACCATTCATTTAGCAATAGTTTGAAAGTACAATGACACTGAAAAACAACAACCTGCAACTGATCTTTTGCACTTAGAACTGTTGCAGCATCCCCACACTTGTGATCAAAATTTGGGTGCTTGGCAACAGACACCTATTTACAATGGCTGCAGAGCCCTGGGGTCATTGATTGCCATTTGTGACAAAAAGATCAATAGAGAAAATTCTATTGAGTTCGCTTAATGATCACACAGTTCACTTAACTGCACTGATTTGCTTAATAACCGTGGCAAAGAGAAGTGGCTGCTTTTCATATTTAGCTTATATAAAAGAAGGAAAGGTCTCTGAAGACACTTAAAACCTTTACTTTTTCATTTTCACATGCACAGATAAATGGTCAAAATTTTCATTAGTTGCTATTTTAATGAAAAAAAACCCTGTCATATCCATGTTTTGAACATTGTTTTTATTTTATTTACAATCAGAAACCAAAAAGAAAAGAACATAATTACTGGAGTTATCAATAACAAAAGAAAAAGTATGATATGCCAAACACAAAATATTGTTTAAAAAAATTCTGCTTGCTGTATTTTACAAAGCATAATCAGCTAGAAAAGTTCTAAAAAAGATCAACCAGGAGTGTGAGCAGTTCTTTAGATGAAAGAAATGAATGCTGGCGTTTTGATAAATATAGTTTGAAAAGATTTTCCCCCTCCCTTTTCCACTAAACATTCTTAATGAGTAGAATGATAAAATATTCAGAAGACACAAAAGGAAACCCTTAATCATATAGTTTAACTATGGAATTTTCTGCCACGAGATAAGATGATGGCTTTTAAAGTAGATGATTAGTCATAATAATTAACAGAATAGAGTTATCAGTGCTACTTGATGGGCACATGTTTTCTCTGAGATCAGAAACAGTATATTTCTAATATTTAAGTTGTTGAGAAACAACAGTGAGAATTAATATGCTCATGTTCTGCCTTTAGACCTCCCAAGAAGCTTCTACACAATGTTTATATTAAACAAAAGTTTGAGATCCAACAGTAGAAAATAGTTGTGAATATATTACTAGTTCCTTTTATTTTATATGTACCTCTCACAATGGGATGAGGATCTTTCTCCAACTATAATTCACACTGATCTTCAATGTAATAAGCTTTGAGGCCATTTGCAGTTTCAATTTTATGCTATGTACTAGTGTATACTAGTACTATTCTATACATACTGAAACACCATAATAATTTTGATTTTATATGAAGAATAATCTGAGTCCTACATCGAGGATGTGATTCAGAAATTGTGTTGCCATTTAATGTTTGTGGCCCAGACAGTTTCTTACATTTTGTCTTGCTATTCTCTAAAACAGTTTTTAAATAGGTTAAGTGATTTGTTAGTATCCCTAAGAAATCAAAATCTTGCAAAGTGTTCATGAAAAAGAGATTATTTCAGCTTTACATCTCCAGAGCACCCAGATTTAATGAGAGTTGGGCAGTATACAAACTGAATTAAACAAACAAACTTTTTGGTGAATAAAAACAGGAATATATTTCAAGGCAAATATTAATATTAATCTTTATCCAAAGTGAAGATTCAGTGAAGGAACTCACCTGCCTTGTTTCATTTTAAATAATGTGAGTAGCAGAAAGAAAAGATTCTATTCTCAATATTCTCAGGGTCTTTATTAATTATGGGTTTGGATTAGTGACTTTCCATATTTGGCAAATAAATTAAAACTTCCAATACATTGAACCTTCTATAAAAGTTGAACCCTGAAAAATTTTATAAAAATAAATATCGGTAGCAATAGAAGGCTGTTAATCTAAAACTATTATCCTTTGGGATTGTAGCAAAGAAATATTTAACATTTCTTAAAGCTTTTAGGCCTTGTTTAGACCAAGGATGTGAATTTTGATTAAATACAAAAAATGTAGTTGGTAGTGCCATCTATTTATGATTATAAGAAGCTTCAAGTAAAATCAACTTTATGCCACTATTTTATTCATCCAGTTGCAAGAGGTCATTCATATTCAGTGTACATTATCCTTCTGAATTGCTACACTATATATAAAGCTGATGAAAGACCTGGCAAATATTTCTAGAACATATAAATGTTCCTCAAACTCTCGTTAAAACCTTCCAGATGATCCTGCTCAAATATATATAGTTTTTGTATATGATTTTTAAATTTATTATTAGACTCTTAAGTCTCTAGAGAGAACAGAAATCTTTATGCATTTTTGTTCATCTATTTTGGAAGTAAATAATATGTGGTAGAAGTACAAAATGTCTGGTAGATATTAGAGGAAAGGCAAATGGTTCTAGAGTTACTTGTATGAGAACTCAAATAATTACTAATGAAAAATTTTCCTTTCAAAAATTTATAGAACAACTTTATATACTATGGTATTAATGAAACAGAGGGGTAACTGAACCTAACACAACTCTTGTTTCTCAAGTGATGGTTGCTATGCTATGTCCAATTCAACTTACTTTACATATCAATGCACATTCACATATGATGAAAGATAACATCAAACACACCGTTTCACATTAAGACATGAACATTTGTAGTGCCACAAAACTGTGGAGAAGAAATCCACTTTACTCTATGGTTGTGCAAAAACAATCTTCACATTTATTATTTTGTGAGAAGTTTACATGAAACAATGATGTGCTCTTGAGAGTAGTTTGAGACACAGTATTTACTTGCTGAATCAGCCAACCCAATCCTGCATGGCTTCCACTGAGGAAATCTCCAGAGAAGCCAGGAACAAGACAACTTTGACTGTTGTGCTTAAGATTTTGAAACAGAGTAATTTTAAGAGATTGATATTGTGTGCAGCTATTGCTCCTTAATAGTCTGATCAAGAATACCTCATGTAAGTCTGTACTGATTTTCTCCAACTCTCATTTCTCAGTTCAGAATACATTCATCTAATCTTAGCCCAATTAGATCATTGTGCCTTCTGCCCTGCAAAAAATATCACAATTCTTCAGTATAATAAATGTAACTAAAAGTGTTCCCTCAAAACCTGCCCTGTTTCTGCTCTCAAATGTAATTTCCAATTCCTCTGTAGTCAGCTCTGGGATTCCCAAAAATTCCCAGTTCTTCCGTCTTTTTTTAAAAAAAAACACAAGATAGTCAGTCACAAACTAACACAGCCAGACAAGCTATATTTTAAATCTCCAGTTCCAAATAATTTGAGTATATAATTGTATTTTATGCAGTTTCTTCTATAAAATCCATAAGAATTCTTAACATCACCTGAGAAAATCTTTAAGAATCCCGAGATAACACTTCTATAGTGAAACAACGTTCTCTTTAAAAATTAGAAGAATGCTGTAATTTTTCAGAACTACTAAGACAGTATTTAGCTCTTATGATAGCTAAAGCTGTGTTTCTTCTTTCTTTTGGGGGGAATGGGGACTAGAAATACATTTTAGTATCACTTATCAGAATAAATAGGTTTTTTTTTACTTCTTAAGGTAATATTTGTATACTTTAAAGTACATATTAATTTTATCATTCATAATACACTGCAATCTAAATATTTTTCTAAAAGTGCCTATGTCTGAGTGTATGTATAAAAATCAGTTATTAGTTATGTGTCAGGATTGTATATAAAGAGCAGCATTCAACAACACAGCATAAGATAATCTAATACTGAGAGTTACAACTGTACATATTTATATGTTCCCGTTCTTAGCTAAACTTAATGGAAATTGAGTTAATTAAACCATTATAAAACAGGGCTGTATTTATTAATAGATGCCCTGGTGTTATAGGAAAAAAAAGTAGTTATGTATCACAAAGGCGAATGCAAAAATGTTAGGAGGTAAAACATTTTCATCCACTGGTACATGACTATTTAAGTGTATTTGAAATTCTTACTTTAAAATATTGGGGGGGAAATGCACATTTACAGCTCAAAGGGCCATAATCCTTAAACTGATTAGCAGGGCTCTTCTGATAGGATAACCATATTGTGTAAACTTAAATGGAGGCACAAATACATCAGGGATATAAATATCTCTTTCCACTGTACACTTTTCACTATTTTATACTGAATAACATAAACAATGATTAAGCAAAGCTAGAAGAAAATAATCAGCTACTTTTTTTCAGATTGTTTCTTTAAATCAAAATACTGCATGTCAGAGGCTAAAACTACCATGACACCTTCTTTTCACTTAGCTACACTCAAACCTACTGTGCACAAGTGGATAATTTTTAAACAGATAATAGAATAGACCCAGTACTAAATGTAAATCCCGAGTCATCAAATGTACAGATTAATAAATGGAACTATTAAATTGTATTGCCCTAGGTCTATACTGAAATACTTTCTTAAGTCAGTTCATATACCATTTACAATTGTTCTTAGCTTGGAAGTGCATTGATTGAATATATCCATAGCAAAAA